TCTGCAAAGAAAAGCAGATGCTTTGGGGACCAGGAGTATGAGTGTGCAGATGTCAATAGGCTGATTCTAGGTATGATAACAGATCTCCAAGTCCCGTAGTGAGGTAAGTCCTCCTGCAGGGGTATGGATGACTGATCGCCCTCAAGGACGCCTGTGACTCATTAATGTGGGTTGATTTTCCAAAGAAGGAGCACCCATAGGGCATCCCTATTTGCCAGGCATTAGTCAGATTCCTCCAGGATTTGACAAGGTGACAGATTACACTGATAAATGAATTTGTGCTAAGGTGGTAATGGCGGATAATAGGGTCTCTGGTTACTCTCAGATAACATCTATACTTAAATGGGGCCAGGTTCTTCAGAGTCTGATGGCCACAATCCATCCTGTCTTTTCGCCAGCCTGTTTCTCCCTGTTCCTGGAGCATGCCCTCTGCTTTCAGTTTCCCAGGCTATGCACTGGCAGTTCCCTCTGCCTGGGTGCCTTTGCTGGGCAAGCTCAAATTTTTCCATCAGTGATCAACTGAAAATAATAGCAACAAATGCTATGTATTACATTTTAAGACAGTGATTCTCAAAGAGTTGTCCCAGGACCCATAGCATTGGCATCACTGGACAAATAGTGAGAAATGCAAATTCTCGGGCCCACCTCAGATCTGTTGACTCAGAAACTTGGGGCGATATCCAGAAATCTGTGTTTGACAAGACTTCCAAGGGATTCTGACACACGCTAAAGCTCGAAACAAGTATTCTAAACATTTGTCCTACATAAGCTCATTTGATTTTCACATCAACCCTCTGTGGGAGGTACTAAGATTGCCCCCATTTTACAGATGAGGAAACTGAGGCACAGAAAGTTTAAGCAACTTGACAGAGGTCATAAGCTGGTAAGTGGTAAAGCTGGGCTTTGAATCCAGGCAATCTGGCTCAAGAATGTGGTTGTTCTATTTCTCAACTATGTTACCCTTTGGATCAATGCTTCTGCAAAGCCTCTTATGATTTCAATCCCAAATCTCACCAGGCAACATCAATAGTACTCATATCACTTTCTTCTCTTGTGATACTCGTGATTTTCTTGTCATTCTATCCCCAGTACCCATATGTATATAGCAATGAGCAAATTTGATATTTGATGAAGGAATGAATAATTGAATGAATCGATCAGTGAATCAATAAATGTCTTGACTCAGAAGTAACTTGACCAGTATTTTCCAGAGAGCTTTTAAAAAAAATACTTTCCTGAATCTCGTCCCTCACCTACTTATCAGAGTCTCCAGAAGTGGAGCCTGGAAATCTGAAATATAAAAAATCAAACCCACACAAAGAACCTGGGTTGAAGAAAAAGTTTTTCCCAACAAACTGATTCTGTACCTATAGACCCCCTGCCTTAACTGGCACTGACAATTTCAGATAGTTTGGTAAGACCAAGCTGAGGGCATGAATGGGGAAAGGGGGGCTCTTTGGACCCTTAAATCCTATCCTATGGGGCGTTGCTAACCCTGTAGCCAACCCTTCCTGGAAGAAAGCCTAAACATGCTTCAGATTTTAAGCCCATCGTATAATATTCCTTGAATAAGTTCATGTAAGATACACCTGCATTTGGTACACTGAGCTGTACATGATAAAGTTGTTTTTACCCCCAGAACAGGCAGTCCTCAGCATATATACATATATATATGTATAAATGGGTCATATTCCAAAAATGTATTTGTAAGTTGAGTTGTTTGGAACTCAGAAAACACTTTCCCACAGAAGTAATATTAGAAAAAGGGTTCCGTTCCTCTGCCAAAATACAAAACCTGATTTAGAACACTCGGTCTGAAATAGCAGTTCAGATGGGCTACATGGACATCCATGGGAAACGTGCCTGGGACCCAACCAACTAGGAACTGGGGATTATGGGAGCACGGTGACTTCTGGGTGAGACTGGGCTGTGGCAGTATCTGAGACATGCCTTGGTTCTCCGCCATCCCTCAACACACACACACACACACACACACATACACACGCACGCACGCACGTATTTGGTGGCTACTAGTCACCTGATAGAAAAAGTTATCACTCCAGGAAGACTACCTGGGATCCAATGAAACCCTACTCCCTCCACTCGTGTGGTCAGGAGCTGCCCCAGACCTTAGCTCAGAGCTCTTCAGTTTAGCAGTGCTTATACTAACCTTTGATATCCTCTTACCTGCATTTTGGAAACATTATACAACCTGTAGTTTCAACTTCAAGGCAACTGTAACCACCTCCCCTATCACACTTAGAATAATAGTTTGGGGAGGAATATGGAATAAGCACTAAAAATAAAACTGCCGCTGAAAAGTAGAAAAGAGAATCAAATTTCTAGCTTTTCCTTGGTCTATAATGAAGTAGCTATGTGACATGAAGCTAAGTTCTCTGGGCCTCCCTTTCCTCATTTGTAAAATATTGGGAAGGGGTGTGGTTTATACAATCTGTAAGTTCTTTCTAGATCTAATATTTCAGAATTCAATAAAAATAGTTTCCTCTACTTCCTTGTGAAAAGACTTGCCAATCTGCCAACTGTTCTCCTACATTTTCCATACTTGGCAGCGAAATAGTGAAACCTTATCTCATCTCAGGGCCAAAGATGCACCAAAAGGAACCAAGGCTGAGAAGTTAGTTTCATTTCTCTTATTAAATTCATTTCTCTTATTAAATTAATTTTATTTCATTTAATTCTCACTTGCCCACAGCCAAATTTCACTTGGGCGATAATAGCTCTTTGGGTTTAAGCCTTGTACTCAGTGAGACATTTCTCAACACACAGCAAATTAAGGATCAAAGTGGTAAAGTAATAATAATTTATCAGAATTTTCACATGCAAGGTATAAAGAGGAAAGGAATTTAAAAATTCAAGGGAATTTGAAATTACTTCAGAAAAAAAAATCTTTAAAAAGAATCAATACACTTAATTTTAACATGTGCCACCAGAGACTGGAATTTAACTCAGGACAAAATATATTGTTTCTTTGATAGAGTACCCCTCTGCCAAAGGTAATACTACCTAGAGGAAAAGAAGTGAGGAAATATGGTTATCATCACCCAGTTTGGGTCTGGGATTGGTGGCATCTGATAGAATCTGAGCTCAGGATTTCCATGTCACCTATAAGGATACTGTGCCCCTATGATAGGCTAAGGATATACCTAAAGTCGGCATTAGGAACCTCAAGAAAATCCAATCAGTTTCCACTGCCATATATCTTTAATGAGATTCAGTTCTCTGACCAGGTTAAGAACAGAAACTTCTGCTTTCACTCCCTAAAAACAAACACACATACACACACAACAACAACAACAACAAAACAAACAAAACAAATGCAAAAATTATCCCAAATAATACAAATTAAAAATTCCCCAACCCCCACCATCTTCTAGCCAGCTGTCTAAGAATCCTGAGGAATTGTTGGGGGTTGGGAGAACAAGCGATTCTGGTTCTAAAACCTCTGGAATCTCAGGTCTCAGACCTAGTGCTTGAATCTAAATAATAATATTTTATAGGCCTTCTACTGTGTGTCAGACACTATGCTGAGTGCTTTATATGCATTATTTAACTCAACCCTTAAGACAACCTAGTGAAGTATGTGTTATTTCCACTTTGCTTCATAAGCACTTATATTCCAGTTCATAGAAGAAAAAAAATTGAATGAGGATGAGCAAATTGCCCAGAAAAAAGACAGGACTGAATGTACCATCAATACCAGCCATTCACCTAGCCCAGGACTCTATGAGCCTGAGATCCGAATCTTTGCTCCACCATGCCCTACGACTTTGAGGAAGTTATTCAATTTCCTTACGTATAAAATGGGAAGAGTATTGTGCATACCTGTCAGGCTTCAGCGGCCTTACCTCTCAGAGTGTGGTCCCTGGACCAGAAGCATCATCATCACCTGGGAGTTGGTTAGAAATGCAGAGTGTCAGGGCTCACCCCAGGTTGTATATTTTAACCAGGTCCTCCAGTGACTTGTGTACACACTGAATTTGAGAAGCTCTCCTCTCAGGCACACACAGGGCAGCAGTTCTTCCCGGCCCTCTGATGGTGTATGCCTTGGAGATTCCTTAGCGCTCACATCTCAGGAGAAAAGCGGACCTTGTGGTGTCCACACTGTGTCAGGCTGCTGGGTCCCCATCTGCCTTTGCTATTCTGCTCTCATTAGCTGAGAATGTCCTTTGTCTGATAATCCACCTGGTTAAAACCATTCTTCAAGATGCAACTCAATATCATGGAGACTCTTTCTATCTGCCCTCCTTCTATTCCAAGAGAGAATTCACCACTTCCACTTCTGTTTCCCCACTAAAGGTCAGATCGATGCTGCTGGAACTTCTTTGATGGCAAGCCATGATAAGAAATATATTTTATAGACACATCTGAACATATGCACGTGCGCACACACACACACACACACACACACCCTGTATATTGCTGAAATGAAAGGTTTGTGAAAGAATACCTTTATTTACTCTGTGCAATGGACTAAGATATTTTCAACATTAATCTGTTCTATTTCATGTGTCGGCATGCTCTAAGGGTCATAACTGACAATTTGTAAAAGCTGTGCAGAGCTATTTCTTTCAGAGGGACTGTGCTACTCAGTGATCTGGTCTCATGTCTATCACCTCTTCTAGAGAAAGAGGATGTGGCCCCATGTCTGACACATGTAGGGACTCAATCATGTTTGTTGAAAGAATAATGAACAGATACATGAATCTGTTATGATCTGCTTTGGTAGCCGGCTGCAAGTCCACCCCTTAACTCCTTGGTCCCACTGCTATCATTAAAAGAAAAAAAAGATATAAAGGCTTGTTTATCAACCACCAACCACAACTATAAACCGACACAATGAATTTCTGTGCTCCCAATAGGAATTTTTGAATGAAAAGCCGATTTTACAGACTCTTGTGTTGAATAAGAAGAAGAAAAAGAAAACTTGGGAATTTAAAGAACAGACGTTTGGTTTTGCATTTTTTTTTCCATTTCTGTTGTTTTATTAGTCTCCCCATTGTAAATTAAATGGAGCTTGAGTCACTGTAACTAAGACACATTTAGAACACTCTGTGTCTGGCAGATGCCAGCCTGCCATTTGAGCCTCTCCATGGTATTCTGCCAGTTCACCTCCATTCTTTCTTTCAACACCTCTGCCCTTCCAGCACGATAGCCCTTGGGCAGAGGCTTATGATGGGAAAAAGTGATGACCAACCACATTCATTTATCATTTATATCTCAGGCTTGGCCACAAGACTCTGGTGCATAAGACAGGAAGGGAATTTCAGACTCAGTGTCAGGACCTTCAGTTCTGTTTTCGAAAGTCACAGGGTTCCAGCATGCTGCTGTCCTTCTTTCATTCACAAGAGGTGGATGGAAAAATCGAAGACCTGGAAAACAAGTCTGGAAGGAATAGCAAGTTTTTTAGTCTTACCTCTCACCACAACACAATAGTAAAACAAGCCTGCTTAATCATTCTTTCACATCTTTGCAGCTTATTCTCAAATATCACATTTATATCTAACTTGAGAGTCTGACTGTCTTTTTAGTCATGGCTCTTAGTAGCTAAGTGACATGATGCCCCCTGCCTTAGTTTCCTATCCATAAAATGGAGTTAATGATGGCATGTACCTCACAGAGCTTTTGTAAGGAAAAAAGGAGATTGTATACTCTTAGAACTGTACCCAGCATGCACCTAGTAAAAGCTTAGTGAATGCTGGCTATTTTTTAAAAGATTTATTTATTATTTTTTTATTTTTTTAATTTTTTTTGCTGGCTATTTTTAAGATTACTATTACACACAGAAACTCTATGTACTTATATTGTTCCTTTCCTATCACATTTAGACATTTGAAGTAATAAAAGATATTCAAAATAAAATGCCACTCGTACTAAGTGCAATGTGATATCCTAGATTGAATCCTGGAACAGAAAAGGACACTACTGGAAAAACTAGTGACATCTGAATAAAGTCGACAGCTTAGTTAATTTGGTATCAAAAATAATGCAGCTTATGTAAAATGCTAATACCAGGAAAATTGAGGGAAGAGTGTTCAGGAACTCTCTGTACCATCTTTGGAACTTTTTAGTAAGTCTGAAATTATTCCAAAATAAAAAAGTTATTTTTTTTAAATGCCACACATAGTTCTTGGGAATGCAGTAAATACAAAGTTGTGCTAGGCACCATGAAAGATCAAGAGATAAGGAAAATGTGACTTTGTCTTCAAAGAACTTACAGTCTAATTTTGAGAATAGGACAGCAATGAGTTTACTATAAATTGGCTGGAATGTAGTAAATAACTTAATAGAAGTGGAAACAAACTCTTGTCAGCCCTATATTAAGGACCAGCTTCATAAAGACCCTTGCTGTCCATGATCAAATCCACTGGCTGGTTAATTCGCACAACTTTACAATTCCTGCCTCCTTGAGTGGTGACTCTGCTTGGTCAGTATTTCACTGGTAGGATTCCCTCCACACTGGAGATGCTTTCTGATTCCTGACTAATGCAGATGTAAACTTTATTAGTTTATTATTTTTTATAGGTTGTGGAGTGAAGGAGGAAGAGCAAACACCTTATAATCAAGGAAAACTGAGATCAAACCCAGGTCTCACCTCCTTGGGCAAGTTAATCGACCTCATTTTCCATTGTAAAATGGGGGGAAGAATAGTGAACTTGCTGTCAATCAAATGATCAAACGAGATAATATCATAAGGACCCCTGGCCTACAATAGGTAGGTCTTATTATTATTGTTATTGTTAGAAATTATCCACAAGGCATGGGCCCTGGCAACAATACTCAAGTACTTATTCAATTGTCAGGTACTCATTTCACTTTCCTAAGACCTCACTTTGGAGAGTTCAGGACTATTTCGTCAAATGGAAAGGGTGACAGACCAATGCGAGAAGCTGCACAGATTAAGGGTTAATCACATGGGTGTCCGAGCCAGTCAGCCTATTATCAGCTTGCTACCTGTGCACCTTTGGGAGACCAACTCGACTTCTCAACACCTCTGATTCTGTATCCGTAAAGTGTGGATAATAGCACCTACCTCACAAAGATATGTTATGAAGAATTCACATATGTCAAATCTCTAGAACAGTGCTTGGCACAGAGCTAACTTGGCACATAGCTATTACTATTAATTGTCATTATTCAATAAGCATTTCTTCCTTTTCTCAGAAGTTCAGCACCCCATTTTACTCAGATATGGGGATGCAAGATACCCGGGAAAGAAGTGCTCTCTGCTCTAGCCCCAGGGGATGAACCACGATTGGTATAAGCCAATCATAATAATTCCTTTCCCTCTTTAGGTATGAGAATGTGGCTGAAGTCTGGCCAGGCAACATAAGGGGAAATCTGCTGGTAGCTTCTAGGAAGTTTTTTTTTTTTTTGCCTCCTGTGTTGAATGCTGTCATGAGGGGATGTGATGGTGGCCATGGTATGGCCATGACGAGATCCAGGAGAACCATAGACAGGCTATCAGCGAACTTCTGGGCCATCTATCTTTGGCCATCTTGGTAAGTAAGATAATAAATGTCCCAATTGTTTAAGCCATTTTTAGCCAGGTTTTCTTTTACTTGCAGCCCAAAGCAACCTAACTTGGAGGTCACAGAGAGTGAGAGACTCCAGGCATCATTATTCTTGACATTGTGGACAAGGAAACTAAGTTTCAGAGAGACTAAAATAACTTTCTCCAGGGTTATACAGTTAGTAAAGAGCAGGGAGTGAGAATGGTCCATTAATTTACTCAAAAAATATTTATTAGGTCTACAAGATACCTTCTTAGATCCTATGGCATTTTCTGGCTTCAGGGCTTGGGTGGAGCTTCCAGGGGGCACAGCAGGGTGAGCACGTGTGCAGAGACTGACACTGCCATATATGTATTCCTAGGCCTTCATAAAATGTTCCGGGAAAAGTCTGCCACTGGACAACTGAAGGACAAATCTCTAATAAAATAAGATATTTCCAAAAGGTATGAATTCAAAATTTTGTTTCCTACATATTTGAAAAATTGCAGAATCCACAAGCTATTTAATAACTAATTAGAACCACTAATACCAGTCTGATGAGATACTTGATTTGATGCCAACAATTTTTGGGAACATAAAAAGATAGTATCAGATAGTAAAGAACAAGAATCACCCAGTGTGAGCTCTTTTCTTCCTTTCTGAGTTTGGATTGCTTCCCTGTATCTCTATATTTTAGAAAAACTTGAATCCTTCAGCCTTCTTGTAGATTTTGCTTCATTCACTCATTCTTTTATTAATCACATATTCAATGAATATTTTAAAGTAGCTACAATTTCCTAATCAAGTTGGAGGGGAATAGTTAATGTAAGCATCCACTTATGACTTATGATGATGATTAAAACCAAGTATAAAACCAAGTATTGATAAAGGAGATTAAGAGTACACTTACCTTGATAAGCACTGAGAAATGTATAGAATTCTTGAATCATTATGTTGTACACCTGAAACCAATATAACACTGAATGTTAATTACACTTGGGTTAAAATAAAGTATAATGGTATCACAACAGTTATGGTTTCCTGAGATGCTCTCTCTATGTTATTTACCCTCTAACTGTTTTTCAGGGTACACATTATTATTTCCAACATCATGCCTAAGGACACCAAGTTTCAGAGATATCAAAGCAATTTTCCACAGAGTTAGACACCTAGTCAAGTACAGATCTGGGTTTGAACCTGGGTCATTCAGACTTTAAACCCTGAAATTTTCCACAGCATGAAAGTGGTGAGTACAGCAAAAAGAGGGTAGTTTTTGGACCAAATCTTGTTGGAAATATTGAAATTGGAGTGAGAGTTATGAAAGGGAATGAAGCTCAGGAGGGATATAACCCAGGACAGGCTCTGAGGAGGGGATGAGAAAAATATGTGGATGACAAGATTGAAAGGCAGCCCAAGAGGAGAAGAGTGATGTTGGGAAGGGAGCCCATGAGGATGGTTGGCCAAGGCCAAGATAGTTAGAGTTAACTGAGGTGATCACAAGTTGTTGTCGGTTATGTGAAGAAGATGAGGGTGAGAGAAGAAAGAAAGTAAGGTGGAAGGATAGTCACCAGAGAAACCATACAACTAGCAGCTCAAAGACCCAAGAGAGTCCAAAGACATGAATACTTCGATGAAAATAAATGGGTTTCCAACACTTAATAAGCAGATTTCTCATAAAATTCTGCATTTACAGTGTCTCCTGAGGAAAAGAAAATCATAATATCAGGTTCTGGGTTTTTGTAGCCCTTACCTCTAGAGAGTAGTAGGTGATTCAAGCTGAGTAATAGCTGCCATCTTTAGCCAGCAATAGGCACACCCATGCCCTACTGTTTCACTCCCAGCCTGTTTCACAAATTTACAATATTGGCCTGAACCCTTTTGGCATTTTACTTTGCTACCCTTGATAATCACCAAAGTATTAGCTGCAGATATCTCTGGATAGTGGGATGGTTGCTGATTTTTTTAAAAGTCAGCAAATTACCTAACTGTATTTTCTAAATTCCCTTTAATTATTGTGTATTGCTTTTATAATAAAAGAAAATGTAAACTTTTTAAAAAAAATTATCAATACCACAAATACTGAGGGAGGAGCTGTGGCTTGGCAGGAGTCCCTGTGAAAAGATCCAAGGGTTTTATTGAAGTCAGGCTTAGTGTGAGCCAAGTTCATGACACAGCAGCAAGAAAACAAAACAAAACAAAACAAAACCCTAACAGATTATTGGAAGCTGTGACCTCATGGTGCTTTGCATGGGTCAGGCCTCATTGGGAGTATAAGTCACATTTTATTGGAGAAATGATAAACTAGAAAGTGTTTGCTGCTGGGAAACCAAGATAGAAGGAGTCTATAAGTCAAATCATGTGATGAGTGGTTAGGAGAAAATAGACATTTTTAGCTTGAGTTTCTGTAGAAAAATCAAAAAGATATGTGATCACTATCTTCAGGATTTGGAAAGATGAAATGTGGTCAAGACAATGTTTGCTTATTCACCATCAATTTCGAAGGCAGGGAAAGCACCAGAGAGAATGATAGAAATGGAATTCCACTTTACCATAAAACAGGGATTTTTAAACACAAATTTAGGCAAAGGGCAGGTGCCTTGAAATCTTCAGGCAGAGACCATGTTGCGGCCTATTTTAGGTGAAACTTTGGTAGACATGACCTCAATGCACCCTTCAGATCCAGGGCATGACCTGGGTGCATGACCTGGGTGCATGACCTGGGTGCAGACCAGGGTGCATGACCTCAATGCACCCTTCAGATCTTTCTCTGACTGGGTGCAGGACTGTTCCCAACTGTCCAAGTGCAGACCACTGGGATGGTGGCGAGAAAAGGTGATGCCAGTCAACCTTCGGGAAGACAAGAAGCAGGACTGCCAATGGCTAATCTGCCTCGGTTTCTCAAAAGCAATCATCTTTTGTGAGGTGGAACCCAGTGTATTTTCTGGAATGCAAAATAATCACAAGGTATACCAGCTATCTCTGTGTCAAAACATAGAAATATCCTCTACACACCTATGGGAGAAGGGCTTGGAGAGTTCACACTGTGTTAGATTAGAAGGGATAGTGTCAATACTGCCAGAAAAACAATAGTCCCCAGGTTTAGATAGCATTGGGCATTTGCTTCAATGGTCAGAATTCTCATTTCATTTCCTTATTTAACATAAACCCTGGAGTCTTATATTTTTAAGATGCTGAGCCCTGTAGCCCAGCAGTCTATCTTAACTCGAGCACAGATCTCAGAGGTTCCTTGAAGGATAATCAATGCATTCTCCTTTAGATGGAAAGAAGTGGGTCATATCTGAAAGGGCCCTGCTAGCACTCCTCCCAGCTTAAGCTTTTTTTCTGGTGAAGCACTGAACAAATAAAAATATTCTGAATCTTAGTGCCAGAATGATGAGATGAGTATTGCCACGAGGAAGTTCACCATAGAAACAAATACCTGAAGCTACGGATTCAAGGTATCTGAGAGTCAGAAGCTAAGGGAGAGGTCAGTTAAGTTTACAGTGGAGCAACATCTTACCTATAGATTCATTATCTAGAGGTTCTTACCTAGAGGCCCAACCACACACACTCCTCCTAAGTATGAAAGATGGGTAAGGGAGTAGGCAAATCTTTTGGAGCACCTGGGGCTGGGTTCAGAAATTGACATAGCTGCCATGTTTAGTTATTCTCCCTCTTTCCTTCTGTATCCATCCCAGTCCCTCTCTTCCCGGCTCTGTGCTCTGGCTACATCCCCAACTGGCTGGTTCCTAGTTCCCAGTGGGACCTACTGGGAAGAAGATTGGGGTGTAGGAGAAATAAGTCAAGGGATCTTGCCTCCATCCCATGCTCCCTCTCCAGTTTGCATTTTCGGCAGTGGTGTCCCTCATTGCTACTGCTGCTATCAGGTGGTCTCTCCTCTTGGGATCCAGGTCTTGCCCCTCAGGCCTCAAAGTGGTTCTGCTGTGGCCTGTTGGTCTTTAACCCATTGAATTCGATTCTGTTTCTTACCAGAGCCTGGGTGGTACAGCTGCTCCCTGGATGTGTGAGCTTAATTATTTTGAGTCTCACCTGTCTCATTTGTGAAATTAAGATCAAACCTGTTATGATTGCTCTATCTCTTATTCATTATCCTAAATGTTGGAGGGAGGAACACTTCTTCCACAGTGATGTTTGAGCATGTGATTGAGCTTGTAGCCAAGATAGGCCAGTAAGAGCATAACAATGATTAGATCTAGGATGATCACATGACCCAACTGGGGACAATGAGATACTGGCTAAGATTTGGGCCTATGAGCTAAGGGATTCTTTATTGCCCTAGACTTGGAGCTATACAGATGTAAGAATGGAGCTCTTGGAGATCATTATGTAGAGAGAACCTGCCTGCACAATGAAAGAAAGAACAACCAAAAAATGAAGATAGAAGATGTCAAAGAACTTGTTTGGACTCCTGGATACAGCCATGCCTGCACTCCACAAACTGAGCTTTTTACAGACTAAGCCAACAAATTCTCTCTTTTTGCTTAAAACAGTTGGAATTGGATTGTGTGTCACTTTCCAAAAAGCATCCTAACTGATATAAAAATACATATTTTGTAGAGTTGCAGTGAGGATTGGAAATTAGATATATAAAGTATTCACTTCAGTTCTAGCAAAGTTTTCATTATCATTCTTTCAAAGGCACAGAGAACTTATCTGCTATAAGAAACAACTGCATCACAGACATTTCAAGTTTAAAAAAAAAAGATCTTGGAAATCATCTGGATTTGAAGGGCAAGGGTTGAATAATGTTCCCTAAGGAAGAGAGAACAATCATTATCTCTTGGGTGGCTTCAATTTTTAATCCCAGATCTGGAATTGTAAACTGTAATCTGGCCTGAGATTCCATAATCACCAGACCAGTATACTATAGGCAAGATTAATATGCTCAATGGGGGAATGGGCCCAAACAACCTCTAAGTACTCTATCATTTCTAGAATGTCCAGGTGAGAGTGTGAGGGTAGCATGTTATTTGTAGTAGCATCTCAGTGGTGTTACCGACAGTCATTGGCGATTTGAGGAAGGTCTTACCAAGGCTTTGAAGACCAAGTTTTTCCTCTTTTTCATCAGATCATTCATGGAACTTATTTTCTCCCTTCTTCTCCTGGTTCACTTCCTAAGTGCTTCTGTATAGCCTTGTTGCAGTGTGTTTTGTGTTCTTAAACAGAAATGAGAGTCTGAGGAGAGCAGGGGCAGCACACACTCATCTTTGTATCATTTTTTTACTCATTCATTCATTCATTCATTCAATCTATGATTCACTCAAAAAGTATTTATTTACTATCCACCACCTACCAAGTACTATGACAGACATTGGAGCTATAAATCTAAAAAGCAAAATCATGGTCCTATGTTCCTTACCTAGTGGGTAAGGCTAAGGTAAAGGAGTAAACTAATAATTTCAATTGCATGAAAGGGGCTTTGCCCTCAGGAAACATTTTCAGAATTGAATTGATTTGAATTGGAGGGGATGGTTCTGTTTCTAAAAAGTTGAACTCCTGGTTTTATGCAGATACTCAAGCGGGGGTGCTCCCAAGACAGCCAGAGACTCGGACCAGAGGAATAAGTCTAGTTTTCAAAGCTGATTCTGGAGTTCCACACAGAAGGACATTTGGAAGCCAAGAGTGAGAAGGGGATCTCAGAGGCAGAATTCAGATGAAGGGGGAAAGAAAACCATCTTGCAGGGTCGATGGCACAGAAAGTAGCATCATGGCAGTATGGGAGAGGGGACAGTTATGCCTTGGAAATTGTCTTCACTTCACAACTGGATGTTGGATCTCTTGCCTTCTACCTGTCTCACACCTCCTACCTCAGCTGAAAATTTCCTTTCCTCTATACCTCAGGGTACAGAAAATGCGGGGGCGGATTTCCAAAACTCCAGACTGCTGGGCCATGGCTCAGGGGGGTACTGGTGAGAAGAGGCTTTAGAGGTTGGTATGAATA